CCCCAAAACCCCAAAACCCCAAAACCCCAAAACCCCAAAATTTTGAGTAGGGGTTGAATAATTATTATTTAACTTATGCCACAGATATCAGTAATAGACTTAGGCTATTACCAGCTTCCAAGGCCGTTCAGGAACTTTGAAATCAAGGTAGAAGACCTTGAAGGAGACAAGGTCTATGTCTTAGAGACCAATACCTTACTCCTAGTGCAATATTCAGAGTTCTTTGTTAAATATTTAAAGGATACTTTTAACTCTCAATCTGATAAAGAGGTGAAGTTACAAGCTGATGTGTGCTCTTCTCATTCAGTATCATGAATTCTGAAATGGATGCACTGCAATTTCTTGTGTAAGCTTCGGTCACTACCTAAATCGATGAACCAGAAAACCACCAAGGCAAGGCAGAGAGATAGTTTGACTGAAATTCTTTCTGAAAAGTCAAGTTTAAAGGATTTTGACCTTTTTGAGTTGTTCAAAACTTCTGAATTCTTTATGGTTAAATAAGGAGTTTTATGACGACCTTCAGTTTTCATTGATGCTGCTCACCAATGAAGATACTAGTGTTGACCTTTTTGAACAGATTCTAGTGATAAGCCAATATTTTGGAGCATGAGTAGAACAAATTAAAAGCTTAGTGATGAAGTTTATTTACTCTCATTTTTCACGAATCGAAGGGATTCCAAGGCTATTTGAAGTTTTTGAAAACAATGAAGATATTCTAAACATTATCATTATGGCTAGTCATTACCTGAAAATGAATGACCAAAAACACCTCGAATCCTACATCGACACCTTAAAGAGCTATTTCGACAAATAACGTTTTTGGATGTCTTGAAATGTTCAGGAAGGCAGCTCGAGAGAAGTTACCGAATTCTGTTGGTTTTGAGTATTTTACAGCTGAAGTTCAGGCTGCTTCGATCTATCTCAACGCCTCTTCTGATATCGAGGATTTCGAGATGATACAGTTGCACAAAGGCACTCACTTTGTATGGAAGGTTAAGATCAAACTGAATGACAGAAAGGAGATTGGGGTCTTCTTTTCCCCCAGAATTCAGAAACAAGACGGAAGACTTGTCACAGGTAGAGAAGATAGGTCTATTATTGAGAAGTATGGTAACTTCCGTACAGCCTTTTACAATATTCAGCTAGAGAACTGCTTTATGTCAGTGTATGGGAAGAATCATTCATTATATTCTTTCCCTTTGACTGAAAATTACTTCTTTGGACCGTCTAATGTTGCTACAACTCCTGATATTGTAAACTTTTTAGAGAGAAATGCAAAATCTAGCTATCATATCAAAATTCAGTTATATGAAGATCCGGTGCATTCAGCTATAATGAACTATATTGGCATGCATTTTGAAAGTCTTTTGATAAAGGCTAGTGATAGAGATCTTGGGAAAATTGATCCCAAAGAGTTTATATGCCTTATGGAGTCTAAGATTCATCAGAATCTTAGTCCAACAACTCTGTTGAAGATAATTGATAGGTATTGTATTGTGAAGGAGCTTAGTTTGTCTCATAGAAGCCAAATAATGGCTACTATTTCAGTATCTTCCAATGATTTAGCAAGGTATCATGAACAGTCAAGGGAAATGTTCTTCGGGCCTCAGAGCGGTTACTCAATAATATTCACTCCAGAATACCAAAGATTACTTGAATTCTAAGCTATTTCTAACTTCACTTCAATATCCAATAACTACCTCGGGGTTTTGGGGTTTTGGGGTTTTGGGG